CCCTTGTAATCCCAGCACTTGGGAGGCTATAAACAGGAGAATCACTATGACTCTGATCTAGTAATGAGACTCTGCACACCCTGTAGACCCTTCCCTAAAAAATATAGAAAAAAAAAAAAATAGAATCATTCCAAGACTTGAATACACTTGCAGCGGAACATAACCTTGTGCAACTGCTCCTCAAAAAATATGTATTCAGCAAGGTATGTCTTCTTGCCTTGTTGTCAACACTGGTAAAGTCAAGAACCTGGGCTGGGTACCACGGTGAGCTAGAGTCCTCTCTAATAACTGTGTGTCAATATCATCCATCAAGTTGAAGTGCCAGCTGAGAGGAAGATGTGACACCCTTTGACCCGCAGCCTCCCCTGAATAATCGTGACAGGTATCTTTAGCACAGGACCAATGCCTCACCATGAGTAGAGCTTCCTAGCTTCAGCAACGCGGTGGGCCGCTAAGAACGACGCTCTCAGTGCAGACACGCATGGTGAAGTGGTGGCCTTCAACAACTGCTTCTGGTCTTCGTGTTCACTGTTTTTGTTTTGTATTGAAACACTCCAAAAATGTATCCTTTAGTGCATGGTGCTGGCTTTCCCTGTGATGAGACAGTTTTGAAGGCTTCATGGTGTCACTGGGGAGCCAACTGCCACGTATACACACAGAGTGGGCCTGGAGAATGGGAATCACCTACTGCAATGAACTCAAAGTGGAAGCAGAGGTCTTGGTATTTTCTTTTTTTTTTTTTTTTTTTTTTGTGGTACCTGGGATTGAACTCAGGACCTTGTACTTGCTAGGCAAGCACTTATTCGACTGAGCTAGCTCCCCAGGCCCGATATTTTCTTTTAAGTGGAGTTTTCCTGTCAGCAGGCTGAGCGTTCTGCTGCCTCATCACTGGATCTTTCTCCATTTTCTTTTTTCTCTTTCTTCCTTCCTTCCTTTCTTTTTCTTTTTGCGGTACCGGGGATTGAACTCAGGACCCTGCGCTTGCCAGGCAAGTGCTTATTCTACTGAGCTATCTCCCCAGCCCTCTCCATTTTCAAAAAACCTCTCCAAGGATGTCTTTTACTCATTTTAGCTAGGCATTGCCTCGAGGACGTACTAAAACTGCCCAATGAAGGAAAGAGGCAAAGGTAGAAATGGTAAATAAAATAACAGACAGGCCAGATGTAGACTAAAATAAATGTCAAGAATCCGCTTTTAAACCTGGCACCAGTGGCAGCTCTACAACTGAAGTACATCAAATCACTTGACATGATAAAGACTGCCACCAAATGCAACTTAGCTGTCATGAGCCATTTGCTGACACAATTTTAATAAGTCTGCCTGCAACTGATTTATTACAGTCTCTGTATTCACACCTCTCTGCTCATGTTATTGCGCATTCGCAGTGGGTCCCCAGTGCCAGCACAACTGCCTCAGCTCGGAGTAAGATCATCAGGCTTTAGATTCTCAGGAGAGCACAACTGAGATCCCTTGCATCCGCAGTTCAGAGTGGGGTTCGCGTGCTTATGAGAACCACGTGGGGTTGTCTATGAGGCTCTAGGCCTGCTATCTGATAGGAGGTAGAGGTGATTCCAGTCATGGAGAGCAGCCGTCAGCACAGAGGAGCCTTCGCTTGCCTGCCACTCACTTCCTGCTGTGTGGTGGAGCCAGGGGCCTGAGGCTGCAGTTTTTCAGTTAACAGACAAAGGTGGGCCAAATTACAGGAAAAGCAAATGCAGTGGACAGAAAAGGGCAGATTTAAGGTAAGTTTAAAGACTGAATAGGCCTTGCATAAATACTCGGTGTGGAAGTGAGTGAAAGACATATAAAAGTTGTCAGTAATTTTTTTACTTTAAACAACTTTATATGACCCTTATGATGTCATCATTCCACTGTATCTTTATTTACCTTCCTCATTGTATGTCATTAGGTTTCCCTCAGAGAATGCTTGATTTGGGTTAGCATACAGCCTTCATGTGTGATGTGGGGCTGGAAGGAAGCCTGGAAGGTCAAAGAAAGGTGAGGGAAACGGCTCAGATTATTAAAGACTGTGATCTAGGAGTTATGGATCAGGCAACCTTAACTTTTTTTTTTTTTTTTTTAAATTTTATTTAGTTATTTGTGTGTGTGTGTGTGTGTGTGTGTGGCCAGCTCAGCCCACCAGGGGGCGGGGCTGGCTGGCATGTGGTGCTGGGGATTGAACCGCGGTCCCTGTGCTTTGCTAAGCTTGTTCCAAGTAGGCGCTTTAGACCACTGAGCTATCTCACCAGCCCCCAACCTTAACTTTTTGAAGCCCAGGCAATAATCAGAAAATAAAAAGCCTCTGAAGATGTCATAAAATGTGACTATAAGGCTTTAAGAAATATTAAAAATAAATTGTTACTAGTTTTATGGAAACACTCGTGATACAAGTCTTTTTTGGGTTTTTTTTTTCAGTACTGGGGATTGAACTCAGGATCTTGTGCTTGCCAGGCAAGCGCTTATTCTACTGAGCTATCTCCTCAGCCCTCTTTTTTGAGGCAGGGTCTTGCTATGCAATTCAGGTTGGTCTTGAGCTCATTTTGTAGCCCAGGCTGGTCTTGAACTTACAATGATCCTCCAGCCTCAGCCTCCCCAGTGCTGGGATTACAGGTGTGGGACACCGTGCCTGGTTTATTAATATGTTTAATTAGAGAAAACTTATTTCAAGAAAGTATTGTGGTGGAACAAAATGCACCCTGAATTTGTAAGAATCTATGAAACGGGGGCCTGGCCCTAGCTCAGGCCTTTAAGTGGCTGCTTCCACAAAGCTGTCAGCCTCAGGTTGCTGGAGTTCAAACCTCACATCTCTCCAGCTCTCCAAAAGTGCCCTGAAGGCATTCGAGGAACAAAAAAAAAAAAAAAAAAAAAAAGAATCTATGAAACTGACCTCAGAAAAGCAAGTCTGTGGGCTGGGAGATGGCTCAGTGGAATAAGTGCTTCCCTGGCAAGGAAGAAAAAAAAGAAAGAAAAGAAAAAAGAAAGAAAAGCAAGTCTGTATGACTAAGAGAAGACCCCCAGCACTCACCACTCTGATGTTATGCTCAAATCAAGATCATGCTTACATAAGGAATAGGGCAGCCATCGAAGCAAATGTCAGCTTCTAAAATGTGCTTTATTCTGAGGAGCGTGGAGTAATGTGACGGAAAAAACACAGTCAACTGGGGGGCCTGCCCCTTAGCTCAGCTCCTTAAGTGGCTGCTTCCACAGAGCAGTCAGGCTCAGGCTGCTGAGGTCTGATCCCCACAACGCAAGCCAGCCAAACCTGCCCTGAAGGCATTCGGAGCAAAAAAAAAAAAAAACAACCCTTCTGCTTTTTTGCCATAGAAAGACCTGGGAGGCCAGAACTTCCGGGAGAATTTTTCTGAGAGGCTGGGCCAGGGCACATGGTGAATTGGTGGGGTAGCCAAAGGAATTGGACCAGAAATTCAGTTTTTCCCTGGAGGCGGGACGGGACTTAGGAAGGCCCAGCTTCGGAAAAGGCCTAGCATTAGCTGGACTTTCTCCTCTTAGAACTCCCCTCTTAGAGCTCGAAGAGAGTTCTAGGAGGAGGAAGAACTCTTCTTCTCCTATCGTACAGTCAAAACCACCAGTTATCCACCGACCACTGAATGCTTTCACTGGATGGACGCATTGTGGACATTAGCAGCAAGAGGAGAACAAGAGTCCTTAATTCTGCTCTGCCCATGGGCTGAGTTCTTTCAGAGCCTGTTGAGGCAGAGCGCTGAGGCTCAGGAGGCTGTGTTTCGAATCCCTCTTCCTTGAGCCTCACCTCACCTGCTCTGCAGGCAAGCTGAGCCAGCCTGGGGTGGGGGGATCCATCTCATCTTGTTCTCTACATGGCACTCGATGGAAGAATTTTCCATGAAACTATTTCTGGGGAGACTCGCATGCTGGTGATGTATTAACTGTGACGTTTTCCTCTTGAATTTGGGATGGGAAGTCCTCCTGGGTGCTGTCTTAGGGGCACAAGTTGAGGAGGGCCCACCCTGCCAAAGGTCCTAGATGCCCTCTGGAATTTCTCCGCTAACAATTCACACTTAGAATCACAAACGCCATGGTGGGAAAACCAGATCCCAGTGGAGAAGTGAGGCTTGCACAGCTGGGTCCCATTGTGGCCCTTAAGGATAAAGGGCTGAGCAAGTGTGATTTGGACGAAGGCCTGCCCCTTAGCTCAGCTCTTTAAGTGGCTGCTTCCACGGAGCAGTCAGGCTCAGGCTGCTGTGGTTCGATCACCACAACTCAAGCCAGCCAAACCTGCCCTGAAGGCATTCGGAGAAAACAAAACAAAACACAGTTAACTTAAAGTGAAGACCTGGAAATGGATCTTGGCTTCAATCTTCACGCTGTGTCTCTCTAGCAATGCTGCTAAATAGTTTTTTTTTTATTTTTAATTTTTTATTTATTTATGTGTGTGTGTGTGTGTGGCCAGCTCACCCCACCAGGGGGCAGGGCTGGCTGGCATGTGGTGCTGGGGGATTGAACCGCGGTCCCTGTGCTTGAGATTAGCTTGTTCTAAGTAGGTGCTTTAGACCACTGAGCCATCTCACCAGCCCCTGCTGAATAGTTTTTATTTTCTGATTTCTTAGCTCCACCGAGAACAGGCCCCCGTGGTCTCCCTGGGCTGTACAGGGATTTAATGAGATCCCACGTATAACACTGACCTCCTTTCTTTTTTGCCCAAAGACAACAATAAGGTCAAGTGCTACCTACGTAGGCATAACAGGGACAGAGACAACATCTAGCCTGTTTGGGGTCAGGCGGTCAGTGAATGTCCTCACTGAGCAGGAAGCCGCCAGCCAGGTGAGCAAGCCAAACAAAAGCAACAAAAGGCCTCCAGTTCCAGGCGCTTGGCAGCCGCAGCTTACAGTGCAATTACAGCCAACTCCAGGAACCACACCGCGCGCAACCAGTCGCGAAAATGGCACAGAAATGGCATCAAGAAACCTCGGTAACGAAAATACAAATCTCTGAAGGGAGTAGATCCCAAGTTTCTTAGGAACATGGGTTTTGCCAAGAAGCAGAACAAGAAGGGCTTCAAGAAGATGCAAGTAAACAATGCCAAAGTTAAGAGCGCATGCACCGAGGCTATCAAGGGCCTTGGCAAGCCAAAGATCATTCCAGAGGAAGGAAACTGCAGGCTCACTCAACTTGCCTATTTTGCCCACCCCAAACTTGGGAAGCGTATCTGTGCCCGCACTGCCAAGGGTTGCAGGCCTTGCCGGCCAAAGGCCCAGGCTCCAGCTTCTGCTCCAGCCCAGGCCAAGGCTCCAGCCTCTGCTCCAACAAAGGCCCAGGCTCTGACTTCTGCTCCAGCCCTGGCCACCAAAGGTGCCCAGGCCCCCATGAAGGTTCCACAGTAAAAGCCTCTTATCTGCTAAAGTAAAAACAGAAGGACTGGTGTGACCCCTGGGGTACCATCTGTGGGGGGATAGTGTCCTCCTGTGCTCTTTGTACAAATAAACTTTAGGCAGGATTAAAAAAAAAAAAGCAACGAAAGGCAGCAGGAAGTGTGGAGGTCTAGACACCAGATCCTGAGTGCAGGCAGTCCAGGCACTGTAAACGGCTTGAGGTGGCTCCAAGAACAAACACAATGAGTACAATAGCGGGTAGAGTATTGAGCTTAATACCACAAGCAACAGGTAATATTTATTGAGCACTTACTATATGCTTGGAACCAGTCAAGCATTTTGCCTGTGTTGAGGCTGTCAGAAAGATCTGACTGAGCTAGTACATGTGAAGTACTCAGGACCCTTAGGATTTGCTTGGGACAAAGCAGCCTGGTGCTGTGGCTTCAGCCCAGGCCTTGAGCGGGTGAGGAGACCACTACTACTGAGCTACAGACACCATTATCTCCTGGACATTAGACACTGAGGTTCTGTATGATGAATTGAAGTTATTTCTCATCTGTGAAAAATCAGCAAAGAACCATAATCTGATTAAATCTCTAGGTACACCAATTACCAATTCACAGTAGACATGGCAGAAGCATATGCTAGATGATAAAAACAGGGATAGAAACAGTAAGAAAAGAAAAGGGAGCAGGCATCTATGGATTAAAAGTCACGAGGAACATTTCAATCTTTGGGAGAGGGTGGACATTACTGGGGCCCTGGCTTGTTTTGTTTGAGACAGGATTTCATTATGTGATTCAGACTGGCCTTGGACTCACTAGGCAGCCCAGGCTGCCTTGAGCAAGCAGTGATCCTCCTGCCCCAGCCTCCCGAGGGCTGGAACCACGGGTGTGCACCACCACTCTGGGACCCTGACATGAACAAACAACAAAACAAACGACTGGATAGAGGATATGATATACACTGTGTAGGGTAAAGGCTACTGTGACAACAGTACTGTAATTATGTTTAAGAAGTATCTTTATCTTTTAGCAATACATTCAGAAATATTTACTCTTAGCCAGGTGTGGTGCACGCCTGTAATTCCAACACTTGGGAGGCTGAGACAGGAGGATCATGGCAAGTTGGAGACCAGCCTGGGCTACAAAGTGAGCTCAAGGCCAGTCTGAACTGCATGGAGAGACCCTGTCTCAAAAAAGAAAAAAAAAAAAAAAAAAAAAGAAAAGAAATATTTATTCTTGAATGACCTGACATTTTGGATTTGCTTCAAAATATCAGAAAAATAAATGAAACAAGCGTGGCTGAGATAACTAGCTACATGGACGCTCACCATACACTTCTTTTTTAGTGCATTGGTGAAATTTTCCACAACAAAGTAAAGGGAAAGGAAGGGAAGGCAGAAGGGAGGAGAAAAAAGAAGGAAAAAGTAAAAGAAAAATGAGAAAAGAAGGGAAACATGGAAAAGCTTTTGTAAATGGAGAGGAGAGGCAGGTTGAAGGGAGGGGAATGGAAAAACAACCCAAGTGATAGAACATACACATCCAGATGCTCTGTGACGCATGTGCTCATTGTGTGTATCTAAAATGTATCAATAAGATTTGATTTAAAAAAAAAAAAAAAGGAAAGGTGAAGGGCTGAAGTCAGGGTAGGCAGAGCCGAGCAGGAAGGGTGCCTGGTGTGGTCAACTCAGGCACAGGATGTGCACATGGCGTGCAAGGGAGGGAGGAAGTCATGGGATACTGGGAGTTCAGGGAACCCAGGGAGGTGGTGCTGGACAGGAAGTCACCCAGGATGGGCAGCGGCTGAAGTCAGGGTCAGAGGTGAGCAGGCCTAGGTGGTGAATGTGGCGAGGTAAGGCAGGTGAGCAGCCAAACAGGGAGCGCCGAGGATGGGTTCCGGAGCATCCCATGGAACAAGGCATTTCCAACCCCGTCACTCAGTGAGACGGGAGAGAGTTCTCCACGGAGTGTGGGACAGGAGTGGTGGCCCCAGATGGAGAGGTTGTGGGATAATGTGCGCTTAACTCAAAAGTACACTGCCGCTGGGCATGGTGATGGGCTGTCGCTCGGGAGGCTGAGGCAGAAGGATCGCTGTGAGTTTGAAGCTAGACAGTTCCATAGTGAGTTCAAGGCCACCCTGAACCATATGGAGAGACCCTGTCTCAAAAAAAAGGGTACACTGCTAACAGCTTTCCCAAGTGTCTGTACTATATTACAGTTACTAGCAACCTTCATGAGTTTGAGTTTCTTACCTCTGCCAATTCGAATTCTCAACCTTCTGGTCAGCATACAATGGCTCACTGTGGCTTTCACTTGCATTGTGCTGATGACTGAAGATATTATCGGGACCGAGGAGATGGCTCAGTGAGTGGTCTAAGCACCTGCCTGGCAGGTGAAGGCTCTGGGTTCAACCCCAAGTACTGCATACTGCACCAGGCAGGCCACCAAAACTGGGCGTGGTGGCACACACCTGTAATCCCAGTGCTGGGAAGGCTGAGCCAGGAGAATCACTGAATCTGAGCTGCCTAGCGAAACCCTATACCAAATAAATTAATAGACAAAAAATTTAAAAAATAGAGATGTTACCATTGAAGCTAACTTTGATTTTGTATGTATATAAGCCAGGTGCAATGAAACAATAGTCCTTTCTAAGGACTACCTCGACTAATGACATTTACTTCAGCATTTGTACATTAGATTATTTTGCAGAGGAAGACTGTATAATTCTAGCACCATAGAACACACACACACACACACACACACACACACACACACCAGTTTAGGGAGCAGATCAAACTGTAGGTATGTTGTCAGACCCAAGAGTCTCTTCTGTTATTGTCAAAAGGAGTGCTAACCTTTCTTTTCATACTACACAACTTTAGGTCAAATGTCACTTTGGTATGATATATGTTATTGGTTAGCAATTTAGCATTGACTAAAAACCCCAAGCTCCAAGCTTCCAAAGCCCTGCTGCGGCTGTACTGTTGCCGCCTCTACTGCCACTACCTAGTTATGCTACAGCAAAGAACACACCACAGAAAATGGTACTGTTCTCCATCAGCAAAAGTTAAGCTGCCAATTCAACTTTAACACATATTTTGAAATTAATGTAAAACACATGCAAGTAGATTTTTGCTTGTTATTACCATTGAGATAAGCTACACTATAGAAATGTATATTATAATTTCTACAAATTCAGGATTTTGTTTTTTGAGGCAGGGTCTTGCTAACAGTCCAGGCTAGCTTTGAACTCACTTTGTACCCTGGGTTGGCCTTGAATTCATGGCGATCCTCCTGCCTCTGCCTCTTGAGTGCTGGGATTAGAGGCAC